CAAGTGAAGTGCGACAAGTGAAGTGCGACAAGTGAAGGCGACAAGTGAAGTGCGACAAGTGAAGTGCGACAAGTGAAGTGCGACAAGTGAAGTGCGACAAGTGAAGTGCGACAAGTGAAGGCGACAAGTGAAGTGCGACAAGTGAAGTACGACAAGTGAAGTGCGACAAGTGAAGTACGACAAGTGGAGGCGACAAGTGAAGTGCGACAAGTGAAGTACGACAAGTGAAGTGCGACAAGTGAAGTGCGACAAGTGGAGGCGACAAGTGAAGTGCGACAAGTGAAGTGCGACAAGTGAAGTGCGACAAGTGAAGTGCGACAAGTGAAGTACGACAAGTGAAGTGCGACAAGTGAAGTGCGACAAGTGAAGTGCGACAAGTGAAGTGCGACAAGTGAAGTGCGACAAGTGAAGTGCGACAAGTGAAGTGCGACAAGTGAAGTGCGACAAGTGGAGGCGACAAGTGAAGTGCGACAAGTGAAGTGCGACAAGTGGAGGCGACAAGTGAAGTGCGACAAGTGAAGTGCGACAAGTGAAGTGCGACAAGTGGAGGCGACAAGTGAAGTGCGACAAGTGAAGTGCGACAAGTGGAGGCGACAAGTGAAGTGCGACAAGTGAAGTGCGACAAGTGAAGTGCGACAAGTGGAGGCGACAAGTGAAGTGCGACAAGTGAAGTGCGACAAGTGGAGGCGACAAGTGAAGTGCGACAAGTGAAGTGCGACAAGTGAAGTACGACAAGTGAAGTGCGACAAGTGAAGTGCGACAAGTGAAGTACGACAAGTGAAGTGCGACAAGTGAAGTGCGACAAGTGAAGTGCGACAAGTGAAGTGCGACAAGTGAAGTGCGACAAGTGAAGTGCGACAAGTGGAGGCGACAAGTGAAGTACGACAAGTGAAGTGCGACAAGTGAAGTGCGACAAGTGGAGGCGACAAGTGAAGTGCGACAAGTGAAGTGCGACAAGTGGAGGCGACAAGTGAAGTGCGACAAGTGAAGTGCGACAAGTGAAGTGCGACAAGTGAAGTGCGACAAGTGGAGGCGACAAGTGAAGTGCGACAAGTGAAGTGCGACAAGTGGAGGCGACAAGTGAAGTGCGACAAGTGGAGGCGACAAGTAAAGTGCGACAAGTGGAGGCGACAAGTAAAGTGCGACAAGTGGAGGCGACAAGTGAAGTGCGACAAGTGGAGGCGACAAGTGAAGTGCGACAAGTGGAGGCGACAAGTAAAGTGCGACAAGTGGAGGCGACAAGTGAAGTGCGACAAGTAACTGTGGCCAAAACAACGGTCACAATAACGTGGCTAAAGTATGTTGACCAGACCACACACTAGAAGGTGAAGGGACGACGACGTTTCGGTCCGTCCTGGACCATTCTCAAGTCGACAATCGACTTGAGAATGGTCCAGGACGGACCGAAACGTCGTCGTCCCTTCACCTTCTGGTGTGTGGTCTGGTCAACGGTGAGAGTACCAGTTATGTGGACCACGTGCGCTGGGGTGACTGGGTGTGTGTACCAGGACCTGACTGGTGAGACCGCTGACAGGTCAACCGGACGGATACTGCCACTCATCATCCCCGTGGCCCTTGCTCTCTTGTGTGTTACAGCCCTGTTTAGGGTCCTGTGAGCCCTGCTGTCTTGTGTGACAGCAGGGCTCACAGAACACACCATAGCCCTTGCTATGGTGTGTTCTGGGGCTCTGCTACATTGTGTCATATGGTCTCCTTCAGGGCTCTGTTGAGTCCCATGGCCATGACGAATTAAGCATTATGGCCTTTATTACCTTTTATGGTCCTACACTGTTGAGTTCTGAAGTGCCGTGTGGAGCTGCCTACCTTGGGGTCACACTCAAGTGGTGCCTGGAATCAATATCCTTACGGCCCGGTCTCTGCCATGGTCTCCAGGGGTATGGCCTCCTCGTTCCTGAGTTCATTTCATCACTGGCTGGTTCACAAAGTGATCCATATTCTTTCTGCCTAGCTCTTACATTAAGAATAGGGGCTTGGTGGGGCTCCTACAGTCAGCTGTCCTCCTATGGTTTACAAACGTCAAGAAACTGTCGTACTAAAGTGTCCTTATCCTAACCTACCAGAGGACCCAAAACAGAAAACGGGACATTGTGTGAATTTCGCGAGCCGCTACCATTTTCAAGTACAATGTTTTTTGGGCCTTAGGGAGACTATACGTCAAAATGCGACGTTGTATTTGGAGGGCGGGTTACACACACACTAAGACTGGAGGCGTGTGTGTGTGTGTGGGGGGGGGGGCTCCTCCAGGTACCCCAGACCATAATGACGTCATAACAGCCGCCTTCAACGGTCGTTAAGCCCAGTACCTTACAAGTCACGGAGCCTCTCCGCATACATTTGTAAATACTATTACGAATTAAGTTAAACTGCCGCTGTTCGAACCTCGAGGGAAGGATACAATAAATAAATTCCTAAATAAAATATTATTATTATTATTAATACTGCATATATTGTATACTGCTTCACAGTACCACGCACCATATATACCATGCTGGAAATATATATATATATATATATATATATATATATATATATATATATATATATATATATATATATATATATATATATATATATATATATAAACTGTAGCGGAAGCCGTCATTAGCGACACGGAATACAGTCAATAAACAACAAATATCACATCAGTTGTGTTGTGATCATTTATAACAGAGAACAAAAGACGCTCGCGGGACCACCACATGAACAATGGGCTCCGGGTCATCATTTATCACACCATGAGGGAAAAGTTTAGCCTCGGTTTTGGAGCTGAATACATTTTGGGAGTAATAATCATGGGTAACTGAAACATTTACACAATGGTATATTCAACTTTCATACATTGAATTACTTTGTTTTTCCTGCCGGTAATGCTGCATAAAAGTTTGATTGTAAATTCATTAGTGTGATTCACAGAGAAAACAAATTGCGTTCGTTCGTAACAGAGTTTGCAGGACCGAGCTCAAGTCCCCGGGTCCCGATTTTACAACTGTCGGTTTTTTGTTACCATTTCGGACCTTTTTAATATAAATGTTTGAACTCTAACGCTCGATATCATTTAACACGTAATACTATCATTTTCGTTCATTTTTAATTTGCTTAATATTTAAAGTAATTAACAATATAGTATGCAGAAATATTGTGATCATTTTACTTCTGTAAAAATTATATAGAATATATGAACATTTCCGTAGTCCCCGAAGCGAAATATAAATACATAAATATACATCCATAAATACAAATAATGGGATATGTATTTCAGCGATAGTGTGGTTGATAAAATAAATATATGACCGAACCTAACCTACCCTACATAACATATCATTTATTTCCTAACCTAAACTAACTTAACAAAGTCAATAATTTATGTTCTTAATATAATAATAATAATAATAATTCAAATAAATCAATTGGAAAAAAAATTTGGAACATAAAGAAAATCACTCGGCCTATTAGGCAAATCAGGCCTTGTATAGTAGGCCGAGAAGTGCGTTCTGGCTACTAGGTACATTATATTATATATATATACATATATCATACTTTTTTATCTTTCTTTACTACTATACAATATAAATCATATACAGGTACTGTAATACCTTGGCGCCAAAATAACATAAGAACAATACACCAATCACGCGCCTGTGACGTGATGACGTCACTGTACCCCACCGCTGCACACTAATGACGAGCCTAATGTTGATAACACATCACAGCAGAGCGACGGAAGCATACGAGTTGTGCACTTGAGGCAACTTGACGTTGTTGAAGCCTCACACTAACCCACCAATTACACACCTCATACAACTAGCTACGTACGAAGTTTACATTGATCCACCAATCAGGCGTGTCAGATATGGTGACGTCACAGAAACAAGACGCCATAAGGCCCACTACGCGTCAAGAATAACATGACATTCCACCAGTGCCTAGACAGAGCTTTAATATCTTAACACTAAAATACCATACAGATTTTATTGACATTAATGCCCATGCAAGCGATATATTTGCATCATTCATACTCCTGGAAGGTTTGACGGTGGTCGTGACGGAGAGTTGGTGCAGCTTCAAAAAGTAGGCCGAGAACAATGTATTTTCCTAGACTTTCAAAAATAATTAATTTCTAGACTTTCCTAGACCTTTCCTAGACCTTTCCTAGACTTTCAAAAATAATTATTTATAATTAAAATAATTACAGGTTCCTTATTGGAGGCTGGCGTATGTGATACAGTGGTATTCTGGGATCCTGTAGTGGTTCCTTTATCTAGTAAAGATATTAAACTGAATAAAGGCTACGAGGAGGTATTTACACCACGAGGGGGAAGATAATTTTAGGAATTTAAAAAAAATGACTTGGGAGTTGATATAATTCCAGAACACCAAAATCAAATAACACCAGAATAACATCTGGAGCTTATGGGAAGCCGGAAAGGTGGTAACAAATCTAAATAACATCTCTTTGACAACTGTATACACAACCTACGTTATACCAGTGCTAGAAAACGCAGCGCCGGCATGAAATACGGGCATTGTAAACCACAAATGTAAATTTAACAAAGTACAGAGGTGTGCAACAAAGCTAATACCTAAATTCAAAGGATTAACCTACGAGAACAGGTTATGGGAATCCATTCTAATAACTACATAAAATCAGCAGAGGGAATATTATCGCAACATACAAAATACCGAGAGAAATTGACAAAATGGACAAAGGCAGCGTTTTTTATATTGAGAGAAAATATAACAAGAACTCGGAGGAGATGGGAAACTCAGCCAAGTCAAGTACACATAAAGAAGGAAGATTATTACTCTGGACGGGGTGGAATGCATTGACGGAAGTCGTAGAAGCCACCTCCGTCTACATCAAGACCAATTATGAACCAAAACTCGTACGTCTAAAAATGTAATAACGCACCAGGTACACAAAAGCTATACCTAATTCTCATTAGATATTGATAGGTAAACAACGATAGGTAAGCACTCACCTTTCCTGAAGCTGCCGGAGGTGGATGTTCCGTGCTGTGAGTCGTGGTGGTGAGGAGTGCGGGTGGTGGAGGTGCTGGTGGTGGAGGTGCTGGTGGAGGATGTGTGGTCTAGGCCTCCCCCACGACGGTGGAGGTGGCGCTCCAGGAACCCTCGAGGCATCCCTACCTCGCCCACGCTACCTCGCTCAAGCACCTCCCCCTCACCAACACCTTCTTCATCTTCATCCTCCTCCTCCTCCTATTACTTCCTTTTTCTTCTAGTTTTTCAGTTAATGGAGTTTCGCCGTGTTACAGTCACTCTTTGTTGCTAGCGTCTCACTAAGCCACGTACAACTGCCACACCTGGCTTGGTTCTGACACCGGCTCCGATTTCCCAAATAATCTTGTAAATTCCCTATTTTCACTGTAATAACACTGGCATTGTTTGTTCGCTACCTTAGGCGTTAATACTTCGCTAATTCAATTTGCTTGGTGTAGCCCCTTCCCCTCCCTCCCTCCCTCAGAAGACAAGAGGCGACATCCTTCCCCTCGCCCAGACGACTAGAGAAGGAATGAGGTTGTGCTGTGGGTGTTGAAAGGAAGGTGAAGCGACGTGTGGGACACTTGTACATTCCTTCCGCGGCTCATCCACAACACCTTAACACAATATATAAAGAAAGTTTGTGTCGCTACAATGTCCAGTATTACTGAAACATCTAAACTGTATCTTCAAACTTTAAAACAAGTTTTTTCATAATAATAACTATTCCGGCACTCAAGTTTGCCTTACAGCCCTTACGATGAGGGTAATTTTGTCACAAATACACTGTTTACAGAGTGCAGTCTCAGAGTTGTTAGTCTCCAACTTTACCACAACACAAATAATGTTCAGTATTTATCCCTGAAATATACGTATTGCTAAACAAAGATGTAAATGATCAAAACATGGGCTCTGTAGTGTGGAGACCAATGACCAGTGACTTCAGGGTCTTGTCTCCAATACACACAGCTGCTCTTGGTTAACATAATTTACACCCATTTTAGTCACGGTAAATTAGATTTTCCTAGGGTTATTGAGTGTGGGTTGATTTAACTGTATAAAGTGACATCTTGTTGGATAACAGGATACTGGGTGAGGCGAGTTGAGGTGAAAACGGCGTCAGGGGTCTGATGTGATGCAAGGCTTAAATTAAAAGGTGTTCAGCTTTGTGAGTAAATAGTGGCAAGGCTTTGTTGGAGCGGGAAGTTGTATCAGTCTTTTTGTAGTGTTTACAACCCTGTGTGGCTGATAACAGAGCCAATGACACCGTTATCTTAAGCAGACACGGAAATATACTAAAGATTCATCACTCATCAAGGGAAAATGCAGCCCGTCCTTATTAATAAAAGCCAAATGCTCATTAATCCAGCCGTCAAAACCCCGTTTATGACTGAAAAACGCTTTACACACAACCCACAACAGATGAATTTTCTAGAAGAATTCGTTGATGATATGCGTTCGAATCACTACTCCATAAATTCTTCACCCACGTACTTCAAATACAAATAATTGCCACCAAAACCAAAACACCTGACCTACACCTAAGTATACATAAAACTATTATATTAATTTATATATGAAAAGCTATTTATTACAGTTTATTAAAATTGATGAGTATTGTGTATTTGCCGCCACATTAACCAGCCTAGCCTGAGGACAGGTTGGGACGAGCACAGCTTAAGGACTTGTTTCTCACGTACTACAAATGCAAATATTGCCAACAGACCCTAAACATCTAACCTAACTTAGTATGCCTAACTATACACCAAAATCTAATATATAACATTAATTTATATACAAAATCCCAAATACAATCTGCAGGAAGGAACGGGCAATAATCCACCAGAAACGTAATAATTAAATCAATAATCCCAACTATCTACTTAACCTAGGTACCTAACTGCTCTGCAATTCTATTTAACACACATCAAATAAAACTCTAACTACATGAGGCACTATCTCTGCATCACTTGCAAACACTTCCTGACTCAATCATAACAACTTCACTTAAAACACAAACCAATACTTAAGAGCATATATAGATAAACCAGCAGCCCACGCTTAGCCCCAAAGGCGCCACAGCTCCACTGGCGTTTTAAATCTAAGGCAGATGGACTCGCTTCTTTCCTTTCGTTGGTGCCACATTTATAATAAATACCATTGCTAATAACTTATTCATTAAACCTAGACCCTTACATTAACATTATTGAGTAACACTCCATCATCTACAACCCTTAAAGAATATTTATAACACAAAAAATCTTGCATATAATATTCGAGGGTTAACAGAACTTAAACAACGGTTTGATAGGCTTAACAAAGGAGTAACCATCAAACACAATTAGTTACTATCTAATTCTCTATTAACTTACGTTAATTATATTGGTATACCATTAACCCAACTCAAAAGGTTCTTGGAACTTTTATGCCAATTAAAATATGATATACTACAGCTTAAATGTCTCTATGTTCATTTTACCCTAACTAAATTTACAAAAGCCGACACCATTGTTTGCATACGCAATTACAAATTAATTACTAACGTGCAGTATGCAAATTAGCATGAATAAGAATTAAGCGCAAACATTCATTTTACATACAAATACCGCAAGATGAAAAGCCTACTCGTCAAGTTACATACACATACTATTACTTAGTTACACCACATTTGCATGCGCAAAATGCTAATTGAGTTGCTGTAAATACTATCTACTTCTTTGGCATGCAAATTCATGTATATAATTCATAGCAGATTGTTACATCACATTCATGTAATTTCTTAGTGCAATTTATAAGTGTTCCGTAGTTTTGTAACCGTTCTTCAGTACATCGTAATATTAAATTTTCCGAGAGAGGAGATAAAGAAAGTTGGAGATGGGGGGGGGGTAGGGAAAACCAGATTGGAGAGGAGGCAGGGGGAGAGAGACCCGGGCACAGCCAGATACATCATCTAGTATATAATAATTAATGATAAAATATCATTGTGTTAAACCGAATCAATGGTCTGAGGTATGTGCACTTGTGAAGGGCTACAGGTTCCAAAAGTAGGGCATGAGGATGTGTTAGTGCTTAACATGACGTTATCAACATCCTAGCAACTCGCTCGTTTTTTGTTTTAATATTTACAAATACAATGTTTTTTTAACAATGAGTTTTGCAGCTTCAGCCATCGTTAAGCTAGACATTAACGGAGCCTACTGTATAAGTCTAAATGGTATGTATTTATTTTGTTCTAATATATATTTCTATCTTCACGCAGTCTACCCTAAAACCATAAATTATGTATATTATTAAAACTGTACAAATCATGATAATCTCCATGCATCGCTGAAGGTCTACAGTATTATAACCGCCATTTATCTCATCTTCTCATGGTCTTCCAAGCATCAAAAAACATTTAAATTAAGTCTATAAGGAAGGAGAACAAAATAAGGGGTCTATATGCACTACGGAGTAGGCTTGAATTGATGCTACTGTTCTACCCCCACCTGGCTCCCTTTACTCGTCTGCATTCACTTCCTCCCATTCCCGCTCTATATTTCCCCTACTACAGTCCTACCGTAAACAATAATTTTATATGCAAATGGAGGAGGCAATTGAGTCTGAGAGGGTTAGTATGACCGGTGCAGCGTCTCCAGTATGATGCAGCTGTCTCCAAGGTCGAATTCATAAGCACTACAACATCCATTTTATTTCATGGTATGGTGAAGAAACATGCAAACTGTCTTCATCCTTAAACGTCCTAGTTACAATTTTAACTGCAATTGGCTTTAGTTTACGTTACCTTGAGGGAATAACTGCCTCATTTAGTCTACGCTTCTTCAGCTACCTCCTATAAAGTATGAAAATGGAATGGGAATATTTGATAAGTGATAATGCATAACTTTTGGGCAAATGTAAGTTGATAATAACACGTTTCTTACTTTTCATTATATTACATTAGAGTTCACCCAAACACACTTTTCGCAGTTTCCTTAAGGGAGAGCTTTATGACCTCATGAAAATCATGGCAGCGACTGCAGCAGTGTGGTTTGTGAGAGCACTAAAAGCCAGGAAATAAAAAGTTTGTGATGATAATGTGGAAAGGTTCAGAGGAGGAGGGAGATACTAGCGATTTCAAGTGACTAAAGTTGAGCAACTAGGCTGCCCGTCCCTCATTAGCACTATGATCCACACAACAATGTAAACAACACACCCTCGTATTACAACACACTGTGTGTTTTAATACTGTAATTCCTTTATTATCCCCATTATAATGTGGAAATACTGTATTTCCACATTATCCTGTATTTCCTTGATAATGTGGTGAAACACGAAAACGTTCAGAATTATCGATTCATTTTCCTAGTGGATACTGACGCACTATGTCTTAGTAATTTTCAACTTTACCATCAGCTCGAAGAAGATAATATTTTCCTGAGGGTATAATGGGCTCCACAATAGCAATTATTTATTGATACTGTGCCTCAGTGTACCTATTATTATGCACTCGCATGCTGATGATTCCATTTTGCACTCTCATTCCTCAGTAAAAGTTTCGGTTTCTTGCAACTTCCACTCAACATCGCACTTTACAACCCAGTTCTCATTTGTCTCACCTTAATCCAATCTGTGTTGGGGGTCCTTGTAATTTAGCCTAATTAAGTTTAATCCAATAAAGCAATATTTTTCTGCTGATTACATTAACGACAACTCAGATTACTAACTTTGCTTGGGAAAACCTTTACTTGGACGAGAATTCTTTATCGATATCCCAGGCAACTTAATTACTATCAATCTGTCCTGGAAACCTCAAACTGCTGCGACTGAATGCCAGAAAGATTGGAAATTCTCTGCGGGTTTGGAAGGTCTTTCAGTTCTCAGTTGCTTCAGTCTCAATGAGATAAGAGGGTGAGAGGCTTCTGCCTTTGGCGGGAGATGGGCTTTGGTCAAGAGGCAGAACTGGGACAGAACTCGCGCCCAATGCCCTACATTATTATTATTATTATTATATAGTATATATATATATATATATATATATATATATATATATATATATATATATATATATATATATATATATATATATAAAATGTGTGTGTGTGTGTAAAGAGTTTTCCGATGTATGTCGGCTTGGGGACCATTCAAGCATGACGTACAGTTGATGCTCATGCGACCCTGGCATATTGAAGTGATTTGATGAAATATCTGTGCCCAAAATAGTCACGAGCGCTGTCGAGTATTGGGGTTATAAGTCAGACAACTTGCCAATAATTGTGTACAGTCTGTGGTTGAGTGTTTATATTACTGGACATGCCAAGGGGCATTGAGGCACTGGATGACCGGGTTCGAATCCTTCAAGGGTCGGGTTTTCTGATGACAAGAGGCTCCAGGTGCCTGCGGTGGTGAAGGACTTGCCTCCAAACCAAATGGCAGTCTTCATCACTATTTATATACTATATAAAATATATATTTTTAATAATATTTATATACATTTCTTGTACATTATTTCAGATAATCTAGGCCCAGATCCCGATGCATATATTAACCAGTGAAGACATATGGCATTTCCTCTGATCTATGTCATTCAGCAACAAACCAATGCATTGAAATACATATAATTAGCTATCCTTCTTTGATCATACACCTGTGTCCTGACTCTCCTGCTTGGGATCAGTGTGAGCCAGGCTCTGGGGCCCTGCGGCCAATCAGTGCAACTATCCTAGCGTTATTCACTCTAATAAATCAATATCTGATTCAGAAAACTTGTCATCTCTGGATGAAAATGTTTACAAGATTTCCAAGATTCATATCTCATAACTTTGCGCTGATTTCTGACTTGTGAAACACAATTTTGACCATAGACTTCCCGACCCTTGTTGGGAAAGTTAATTATATT